TAAGTCACCGTCCCAGCTCCCACTGCTGCTGTAGCTGTGGGGCATACGGTGGACATCGTCGAAATCGACGGTCGAACTGTGTGTGTGTGTGAACGTTCGCCTGCCGCCCTTGGTGCTGGTGTTGTGTGCGTGTTTGAACTGTGTTGTACCTAGTGCTAGGTCGTCAAGCCGGCCCTTTTTGGTGCCAAATCGCTATTCTTGCAATGGCGACCTCGCGTCTGATTGTGTTATCGGGAGTTCAGAGGGACGGCCATGACCAAGGGTTGTGGTACTTCAATATCCGCATGAAGCATGAATATCATCTCAAGACGGCCAGTGATTGGACGTCGCCTGTGCAATAATCGATAACTGCGTTGGCTTTTTAGTGTTTATTGTTTTCTGAACTCAAAAATAGGTTTAACAGTTGTTAACACTTACCTGGTATCAGTGATGATTTTTTTGATTTAGTGGCCACGGCAGTGCCAATTGGCCTCGTCCGTCTTGAACCTCCGTGGCTGCTATGTCCCCTAACACACCAAATCGTGGGGTCCCAAGCAGCAGTAAAGCATTTTTTGTGTACCCACCAGCGGATCTTTGGGGTTACTGTTGATTAGTTAAAGTAACCTTCATAGGTAGGGAATTTGAAATTAATGCAGATACGTAAACCTCCAGCGGCATATTGATCCTACAGGAGACTTTCAGTGATTTCCTACTTAAGCACGTTTAGCAAGACCGCATGCTGGGGTTTGCAGTCCGACTACCTTGGAGGACGACAGTATGAGGTAAAGCAGACTGTCTGTGTTATTAGGGCTCTGAGGGCTCGGAGGCATCTCCTATGAGAAAACCTGTACATGATCCTTTCTAAGTATGTCACAAGGCTGTCATGTATGGTGTGACGGGCCTCACTTCACCTTATGTAAAGGAGGATTGCAGACAACGGAAGAGGTTGTATTTGCTCAGGGACCGAGGGAACCTAATTCTAACGCTGTTGGTCACATTTGAGATAAGCGGTTCTTTGCGAACAAATATGTTGTCATTTGAGTTCGAACTGAAGTTTGTCGAAAAGTCGCATTTTTTTATGCTATGGAATGGGTTCTACGGAAGGTTTTTCTGGTTGACTGTGCGAAAGTCATATTTCTTAGTAATTGTGCGGTAGGCGAAGTTAACACAAACAGTGAAAAACATAGGCATCTGAATAGGCAGTGAAGTGGGAGCCAACGACTTAACACGACTTCGGCCTAGGCGAGGAAATGTGAGCTACCAACAGCAAAAGCAGGTACGACGTCAGGCAGAGAAGACTGGTCTTTCAATGGAAACACGACTCTGCTTACGTGAGCTTTCAGTCTCCGTTTCCGAATATACCGCGATTGCAACCAAAGGCGTCATATTTGTGAGGCGACGGAAGCAACAAAAAGCCGCTGTTGCAAGCACGCAGGTGATTGCACAGGACACTGTACGCGGCGGGAAATCGGTAGGCTCTTTGATCGAATACTTGAAAGAGTCCAAGGCTTCAATCACTTCGCAGCTTATTACTTACTCTGCATGGACAGTTGCCGTCAACTCTATGCAATTGAAAGAATTGCCTGCCTGTAATGTGGATAACTACTTGCGGCAGCTGGCCGTCATGTCGAACATTTCTTTTGTGCTTACAACTTTTGGCCAGTTTGATTGGCATGGATCGACCGTCGTGTCCTACAATGTTCACCGCGTGCTCCACAGCAAGGTGGGGCAAGAACGACGTAAATTAGTTTATAGTGTGAGTAGACTTTCGCAGCATCTACTGCACTGGGGTCAGGTGGCTGGCATGGCCATACCCACCCACCCCCTGGTCCACAACAAACACTTAAACCAACTTTTACCAACAACAGCATTACAACGGATCAGAAAGGCGGCGAGGATGACTGGGCAGACATGTTCACAACCTATATATCTAGTGGGAAAGCTGCCAGAGAACTGCCAGCACATGACAAGCTACGAGGGCCACGATTTGCTGATCATGGCATAGCAGATACATACAAACCTTGAGGCGATCGGCATGGATACAAGAGTGGCAAGCATGTTGTAAATGCTGCATGTATGTTCCGATGCACTCGGTAAAGGTAACCCTGTAAATCCTTGATGAGTTATTGCCTACGGCAGAATGTTATTGTGTTCAAATTTACATGCGCAGAGCCCTAATTAACGCTTATCTTACGCGCACCATAAAAATAGTTTACTCACTTGAGCAGCAAAGCTCTGATAGTGTGATTAATGCTTTAGCTTTTGTTGCTATACGGCATGTCTCTGGTTTTTTGACATTCTGCTCAGTTTTAAAATGGGACTACCAAGGTCTATTGACAGTCAATACCACCTAAATTGCACAAGAAATTTTATCGGTTGTTTTTCAATGTGAGACCACCGGATGGCAGTCAAGGATCCTCAGAAAATAACTGTCGTCGAAATACATAAAGTCGAAAGGCCTTGTTGAGAGATTTCGGTGAGCTATGCTTCAAAATGACTACTAAGTCAGTAGCCAATAGGTGAAGAACTCACGGTAACTGAATCACTCGATTTGGGCAATTGAGTGGCTATCGCATGAAGTACAATCATTTACGATGAGTGTGGAAGCCGTTAATCTGGACTGATATGTGTTGGCGTAGCAAGTGCATCCTACAAATACCGCTATCCTTATGCAACCATTACTCCTTATCTGATGTAATCTGACGTAAGCCCTCCCTATCAACGAACATTTCTCCCGGGGGTCGACCTTGTCGGACATTTCTGGACCGAATGCACCAGCGGTCCGAAAACTCCAAATGCTGCTTTTCTGGCCGCACTGTCCCAACCCCGACGGCGTACACGACAACGACCACCCTCGCCACCGAAGATCACAATCCCGGTACCCTGCTGCTGTCGATCACCGTCATCTGCATCAACCCTGCCAAAAACATCGTGGCGACGACGACGACCACCACCACTACCACTCAAAACATTCTTGACGACCTGTCAGCCACCACCCTCGGCATCACCATTCCCTGTAGGACGATAAGAAGTCGATCCTAACCCGTCCTCAAGTATCGGCCTGTTCGGTCACATTCGAATCACACGCACAGAGACTGGCAAATCATTGCCTGAAGCACCAACGTACACTAGACGTCATCACGCTCACAGTCCGCATTGTCCTCACACATTAAGACATTGCATGATCCTATTCGGTCGTATTCACCTTTATGAAAATCTGGGGTAAATCATCGCAGACATGACCACATTACCACACATTTCCCTGCTAAC